GTGTGTGTGTGTGTTTGTGTCTGACGTCACCAAAGTAGCAACAATTCTTCAATTTTTAACTTTGAGGGAGGTTTTTGGTAGCAGATTGTATCTATAGTTGGTACTTTATGAGGTCAAAAGTATGCTCTATTATTTATGAAACAATCGTAAAAACAAAAAAACATTGATCAATGATTATTTTAAGTAACTAAAAATTAAGTAACTGTGGACACTTGAAAATTACACCGATTATTAATTTTATAATTCTATAAGCATATTGAGCATATTATGATTTTTTTAAATGTATTTAATTTTTTTAAGCTATTTATTATAGACATTCAAAATGTTATAAATTCAATTTATGTATAATACATTTTTTCTTAGTAAGCAAAAAACTTTAAAAATTAAATCCGATAATGTTCATAAATTGTTTTTACAAAAATTAAAGTATTTTGAAATGTCACATTTTTTTTATAAACTTTTGCAGTGGTGATGGTAGTGAAAATGTTCCACCCTCTCCCTTGTGAGTAATATTGTTCCGAATTTACCTACGTATCTAATTATATTTAATCAACATGAATGTGGTGAATGATAATTTTCAACTTGGGCTAGTATTAAATATTTTGAAGAATAATTAATTTGAATTCCTTTTATTATTATTTATTAAATATTTTTGTTTTAAAAAAAATCATAATTTATTTTCTCAATTTCTTTGATAAAATATTCACCTTGTGTTTTTACATGGTAATTTAAAACAACTTATAAACGAGTATACGTGTAGTGTTTTTTTAATGAAAATTAGGAAATAGTAGAAAATATTACTTATTAAATTAATTTTATTATGATTAAATTGAGAATGTGCACTGTCTTGTAAACATTTTTTTAAGAATATGTTTTGAAATATATACATCATATAGTTAGGTTATGTATTTTATAATTTATAACAATTTTAAATATCACAAAAGAAGCAATCATTTTTTCTAGTGATTGTTTTAAATCATATAAAGTTAACTTTGTAATAAATAATTCATGATAAATAACAATTTCTATTACAAACCAATTTTAGTTCATATGTTTTTACATAGACAATTAATTTAAAAAGTTGAATTTAGTTAGATTGTGAAGTTTTTATAATATGTTAACAATTAAAATAGCTTACATTTTCTTATTATAAAAATTGTACTGTCTGTAAAAAAAAAATGATTTTTAAACATGCTTAGAATTTTAAGTATTTCACAGTGAAACATGTAGTTTTTAAACAATACTTTTCTACAAAATTAAGAGCAAAGTGTGCATTTAATGTATTTTGAAGTTTTATAATTAATTATTTTTAAAAACTTCCACAGCGCTTAAAAAAAGTTTTTAAAAAAAGATATTTCATAATATATGTGTAAACACATAATGTGAACTTCAGTACTTATGTATACTTATAAACAGCACCATATAATTTAAATTTTTTGTAACTCACATTGTTGTATGACCTTTCGATAGAGGTACTTATTTATAATTCATACGACTTGTTTCTTATAATATTGATGATCAAAGAATAAGAAATCGATTTTATTACATTTCTGTTCCGTCGTTAAAAAAAGTATGTGTTTGAAACAATGATAACGTGTAGTAGGTCTTTTCTGGAATTATGCTTAACCATGAGAATAATATTATGTCGTGCAAACAAATTTGAAACTCCGATATTATACTTGCAGTGTCCTGTTTCTTGGCAAAGCGGTAAGCCATTTGTATAACTACGCATTAATTTGTTTGCATAATTGTTTTAAATAGAGATAAATTCTATTAATAAATCAACAGGGACTGGAACCTTCGTGATTTTGGTTTCAGCATGGTCCTTAGAAAGGACGAAAATTCTGTTCCGGTCATCAAAATTAAAAATATCTGCTGTTTTGATTAATATTATTTATCCTGCACATTTTTGCGGCGCTAGTATACGTTTAGGTATATCGATCAGTTATCACACAGAAACTGTGTGGTGCGTTTGTGTGCTATCATCAATTATTTAGGTATTGTCGGGATCGTTGAATAGAGCACTATATTATTTAGAAAATAAATCGGAATAATCTAAAATAGGTCAATGGAAAAAAAATCCCCCACTCACTTCAACCACCGCACATATTGCTATATGATATTATCTTTAATACTATTCAGACAGTAAACTAATCAATGATCTATTCGACGACCAAGACATATGATATAACGATACTCGACGTAATACTCGATTCACTTAATATGTATATAGGTACATATAAGTATAATAGTGTAATACTATATATAACACGATATATAAATATCGTACTTTATATTAATAATAGGTACAACGCAATATTTATGTAAAAGTTTAATATACATAATATTTATATACATTGTGTGTGTTTTCATATTGTAAGACAGTAATATCCTTTTATATGTTTATTTATAACAAACGGTAAGTAATATGCGCTGTGAGATAGATGATATTATGGTTTTCCAGATATTTGAGTAAATGTACAATGTACCTATACAAGATTATATTTATAATGTATACGTTTGTTATTGTATTGATTCTTTGGGACAAAACCTTTGCCGGTTCCGACCGTAGTCATGGTCCTCGTGTAGTCTATCAAAAATCAAAATTGAATGAACTACCTATTGATAGTCGGAATCAGTATAATATATACATAATATAAGTATGAATTGCAGTCCGTAAGTATATCAAATACAGATACACCATTCTAAGGTAAACGCACTTACATTATATATTTTATTAATATCATTACCCAACCCCTGACTATAGTGCCTGATCGAATGTTATTATGTAAATAGAGTTTTAGTTTTCTTCGGTAATAAAGATGATTATTGTTATCATTCGAATTACGTGGTTCAAAATGTTTTCCAAAAAGAGTAATTTTGAACTAAGTTTTAATATATATAATATGTACTTTTTTCTTTGGACACCGGTCCAACTGGTTTATAAAGCTGCTGGTATATTTTGAATAAAGTAGACACGTCGACATAATTTATGATGAACCCAACTCGTGAGAAATGTATAATAAGTTTTAACGTAAAATAGAACAATAACCATAAAGACATTAAACTCTGACATTTAATTTTACATTTCATAGGCGAGTGAATGCGTGGTATAATTTAAGTTCAACCGTTTTCAGACATAATTATGCATATTATTATGTTTTTTAAATTCTTATTTTTCTAGTTTCATGTACCTATATAAAATATTTTGCACAGCCTCATACAGAATAATAATATTATTAATCATCATGCATTTTTTTCGACCATTGTTGAGAAATATCTATGCTTATTTAATCCCATGAGATTTTTACAAGGGAACGTACATATAGGAATTTTATAAATATTTAAAGTTTGAATGAGGCCGTATACTTCGTATTGGGGCCATATTTAACTTTTTGTTTGCCTGAACCATGTATTTGTATTTAAATACAATTTCAAATTCATATTCTAGAAAGAATTTGTGTACTGTAAAATGTCAGAGGAAAATATTTGAAGTTGTTTTGAATTGAAACTAAACAATTATAATATATTATACATAAAACATACAATCAAAGGTAAATCAAGGCCAGTTTATGGAACGACATGAAATATTTTAAAACCGTTGTAATATTATAACGGATGCGACAAATGTTTCAACTCGTTTTTAAATTATTATGATAAGTAATACTATTGAATAGGTATTACATTTATTTCGATACTGACAATACATGGATGTTTGTTATCAGTAACTTAATTGCTATTGTAGAATATACAATACAGTGCCCATAAGTATTTAAAAGTTGAGTAACTATAGCTATTATTTTGTATAAAGTTATAATTTAATATGATACACGACTTGCTATAATTGTTCTACAGCTATCGATTAATATTATATGTTACAAGAATGTGATCATATAATATGCGGAACGGTAACTCTGTACAATTTTTAAAATAATACTATAAGTCTATAAAATAATATAGAGTTTGTATATCATTATAATCAATCGATTATTTTTACGCAGACATTATTATATTATCAGCTTTTAACTTTCGACATGTGCTATATATTTCGATTAAAATAGATAAAATAAAAATTCGATTATATCATCATTATTTATAAGTAGGGCTCAGATTTAAAGGCAATATAAACAATAAAAAAAGCACTTAAAATGTGAAAAGGGGCAAAAAAACCATTTAATTTATATAAAACAGCAAATGAAAAATAAACTAAACAATTTAATTTTAATTAACTTCAATGGGGCAATTTATAATAGATTTATAGCAAATTTTACTATTTTGCATTAAAAAAAAAGCGGAGAAGATGTAACAAAAAATCATTTGTACCAATATTAATTTATATATTTCAAAATAATTGAAAACCGTCAATAATCTATAATATATACACAAAATCCATATTACTCCTTAATACACAATATGTTTCTGTAAAATTGGTATTCTGTAAGCTGTCGTCTGTCACTAGGGTGTAGCTCAGGCGTTTGCTAATAATATTATACCTGACAAGTACTAACAACATAATATGATGTTATCACACAACAATTCTGACGCTCTATCGTAATCAGATATGTAATACATTTGTTACATAAATTACATTTTGTTATAGATTTACACCGGCTAATACATTAAGATTATACGTTTGGCATTTTGTATGTTGGACGGTGATATACCCATAGTTCTAAATTTAATATCTGGAATGAAATAGGTATCTGGGATTTTGGGGCTTTCGTACGATACGATAAATTGTTTTATCATCCCGTCTTGATGCTAATTTCTTCCACTTCTAGATCGTATGGCACCCCCACCCCCCCCCCCTTGACCCCCGTTGACATTTATTTTTGAACGATAAGAAATTATATAATTTATTACCTGTCAGTGTTGTGTCTGATAAATGTGTGAAATAATAATAATCGTCCCTAAAGTAAAATAATTCTAGATCTACGCCCGTGTATGGGGTGGGGTGAGATACCCGCCGCTTATATCATGTACTCGCAATAATATTGTACCTTAAACATGACGATTCGGTTTTCGTTGTTGTTGTGATGTTTTGGTGTGTTTGGCTCGCTCGACGAACGGTTTTTGTTGACCAGTAATGGATAGTTACTGCTCAACGACGAGTCTGAGCTCTGTCTGCTGCAGTATTGGCAACGGCGCTGGGCCAAACGGAACGTTACGCTCTCGTATCGCGTACACCGCTCTGATCCGTTTATCTGAAAGATAATAGTCATAAAAAAATCAAAAAGGTTAATTTTTTCCCTCGTCATACTAATATATTGTGTCTAAATCATTTTTAGTATGGTTCATTACAATATCATATCGAACGAAAGGGTGTTTCCGTTATCATCAGATATAATACAATATGTAACCGCGATCAATCAGAATAAAACGGTCATTTATTATTTCATAATATTGAACATTGATCCACATTTCCTTCAGCTCCTTAATCCGGGCTTGTTGATTGATACTATTACCGTTGAAAATTGTCTGCCTCGCTTTCTACTCACAGCGTTTTCTAAATGATGATTCATTACGTTAATATGGGATGTAAATCATTTGGATTGAACGGATTACCCTCAAAATCTATAATAGTATTCGGGTCTTCAATTATTATTCTAATAAATATTTTACACTATGTTCTAAGTAAATCACACTCTGAACATTAATCCTCAAAAAAAAAAGTACGTCTATATAAATTACTGTCAACCCTATCAATAAAAATTAAGCTCAGCACGTTATTAGACTATAAAAATTACGAATGATGAACGTTACACAAGCTTGTCATGCCGTTTTTTTATACGTGCTTCCACGGCGATGACATTAGATACATGATACAATATGTCTTATATAATTTGAAAACTGGATTTTTACTGACGTTTTGAGATGAATATAAATTGATTAAGAACTAATTAAATGTTGATACTTTTAATAATTATTATCATTTATATGTTACATTATATATTATGAACCACATTCGGTACCTATACTGCGAAACCTTAATTTACATTATTACATTAAATAAATGTATTTATAGCTTTTAGAAACTAGTACGGGTCATAAAATTGTATACTCTAAGTAATATATTTTATCTCATAATATTAAAAATTACAATTTTAATGTTAGTTCTGAGAAAATAATACAAATTTGTCATACTTAATTTTGTCACAAGAAAAGTTTTTAAATCAAATACTTTTATATCAACGAAAAACGAGTAGCCGCGACCTTTAATAAAATCCATTAAACTGTATGTATCATAAAATATGGGAAAGTTAAAAAAATATAAAATATAAAATATAAATTATGTTTTTAATAAATATAAACTATTTATGGAGTAATCCGCCCTATTATCTCTTTTTTTTTTGCTTTCATTTATAAGTACTAAAAATTATAACTTTTGTTGTAAATTCTATTTTTTCGTTGTATAATACAATATGATTTTATTTCTTATCAATTAAAGTAAATTTGTATATTTTAAATTCAAATATTTATTACAACAATAAATAACATATTACCTGAATAAAAAATTGATTAATAAATATTTTATTTTATTTTGCAGTATAAAGCGCATAATAGACATAATTATAAGAACTCATACATATATAGATATGGCTGAACTGATGAGAATACAATGTAGGAAATTATAAAAAAATCATATTATGGAAATTAATATAGTATTATAAAAACAATTGGTAGCTATTGTTTAACTGTATGACGCTAACTATTAAACCTTATTCATGCCTACCCTTAATTACTACAGCATTTGAGCACCTTCATAATGTTGTGGAATATTTGAATGCACATATATGCCTTCAATACAAATATAATTAAAATTAATATTAACTTATATGATGTATTTGTATTTTGTATTAATAAAAAAAAAGTTCAAGGTGGATAAAATCGTTTTCCCAGTTTCGCATTGTTTAATTTATTTTTTCAAACGATGACAATTTAATCCTTTAAAAGCCTCATAGGTACCTACAATTATCTAAATAATAAAAAAGCAAAATGTAATTACTTCTTTTGCCGTATCAGTTCCCTGTACTGTTTCATACGTACGCTCTTGAGTGTTTAAGGAAAAATAAAGCCAGGGAAAACAGAATTATCATGTCAGCTTTTAATTTATGTAATAGCAGTGATCTCCTCGTCTAGATTTATTTGAAGAAGGATAATCTGTACAATAAAGTGAAGTCATGATTTTAGGCCAGGCAGCTGTTGAAAGACTGAACGTTTTGTACATATATAATATACAAAATATCGTAATTACCGTTTTTTTTTTTTTTTATAATATCCAAAAGGACTTGGCAGACCTTTTTGTCGTTTTAGAATTTAACAATAATATAATATCATGTCCTAGGGTTGAAAAATCTAATTGATTCGACAACACTGTAGATAGATCTACACCACGCCCATCTATTTCAAAAGCTGCAGTAGAGCTATAAATTTCATATACGAAAATTGTCTCATAAAAGTTGTATATTTTTAGTTTAAATGTACCGAGAACAAAATACAAAATAAATAAACATGGCACAGTTATACCTAGTGGTTTTTAGAGATCAGATTTTGAACGTGAATACAATTGTAAGACATTTCTCGTGACATTCTCGACGGTGATTAAAATAACAAATGAGACATTCAAAGCAGCTGATATATTATATAATATGTTACGTCGAATATAGTTCTATTAATTTAAGGAAGCAAAATATATTTCGGGAATGCTTAAAAACAATAAAAACCAAAATAAAATGATTATATGTCACAGGTCCATATGTACCATTGTAGTACCTATTTACGACGTATACAAGTATATTCGTAAATATGTTTGTATAGTTAGTACAACAAAGGATAGGTAGTGGTATTAAATTTAAATCTCCATAATAAATTAATATCTGCATTAATTATTATTATATTTTATTAAATCATAATGTATTCGGAAGTGAATACACATAAATGCATCGTATTGCATAATACATACCGTATTATGAGCATAGATATAATATAGAAACATGTAATAGGCAAATTTCAAATTTAATATCTTTATTTTTCCTTTGACGTTGATTACATACTATATATAGGTACCGTTAATCCTGTGGGTATTACATGCTAATCGGGTACACACACTGTAGTGGCGTTTTAATATAATTATTCCCAGATACTTGATCGAAATCTGTTAACAAATGTTTGCACACTGTGTGATACTCGTTAAATGTATACCACCGACGGGCAATGAAGCTTTCCGCGCAACTGAAAACATTTAATGGAGCAGTAAGTTGCCGGTGAACAATAAACGAAAGGTATTACTTTGTCGTTTCGATCGCAAATAGAAATAATTAAAAAAGTTTTAAAAAGACAATAATAATATATAGGTGCATATATGGCCCGGCCATAAATTTATATATATTTCACTCGCAATACAATATGGTCGACGGAGCTTATTTACTGTTAAACCTATTAAACAGACTTCTGATGAATTCGTTTCACTTCTAAATAATTATACCAATATGGCTTAAACTCAATTTTGCTAATGAAATCATTGATATACATCATGCAATTTAGATTCATTGATCATGGTCATTGCATAAGAGTTTCGAACTTTATATATCAAAAATAAAATATGTATTTTGACGACTAAAGGTTTCGTAACTATTTCAGTAGACAAACACCATTAATTATTGCAATGACATGTTTATAAATTGATTAAATAAACTTACATATTTTAAGTTATGTAATAAATTAATATGGACCCTTTATATGTTTTATGGTTTTATTTTCTACATAAAACTTAGTTAAAAAATTAAAACCTTAGAAACTTGATTAAAAAAAAACATTAACATTTTGATTAGTATTTGTAAGTTAGAATTCAATAAGAACCTCAAGTAATGAACGTTTTACGGTATTCAATTATTCCATAAATATCAAAAATCAGAATAAATACCTACCTAAAAATTGTGAAGTGTACCTGTACTTAAAAACTACACATACGTATAAAGTATGAAAGCAACTCTTTGTCACGTTAACAAAATGACACGAAATGACTTTCTTAGCAATTATAAAAAATGAGAAAGAGGTTGCTTTATAAAACACTTTAATGTTCCATCCAAATGCTAGAGACAATAAGTACCTATATCGAATACATATTTTATATCAAAATACGTATATATAATTTTTAATAAAGAAAACGAATTATAGTATTATAAATAAAGACGAATAATGTGTCGCATATTATAACAGGTTATGAAATGTAGTGATTGCAATATATGTAGTAGCGCACTGTGAAATAATTACACAATATTGTTTTGTATGTACAACCATTGTTAATAATTTGAAATTGAATAACTGGTAAAACTCAGATTAATTTGAATATGAATTTATGTGCATTAAAATCATTAAAAAATCATCAGTTTAACAATTGAAACCCCTTAGACCGTATGAAAAAACTCATTGTATTAGAATACACAATCTTGAAGTGTATTTAAAATGCCTATTAAAAAGTCACAATTTGCAGAATAAACTCGCAGCATTATTAATGGATAAAAGCCTGGTGGTGAGCGGGTGTGTTCGTGGCGAATCCCTTTGGGTATGTGGTGTTCGGTTAATCCAAACACACTTCGTTAAATCGAAATCATTGAGGGATTATGTGGTGGACTCATGGCCAAGGCTGTGCCGGCGACTTACCGGATTGTACGTGGCGACAAAGTCGGCGGGCGGCGGCGTGACCGAGTCGAACGAGTGTTGGCACTCGACTGACGACATGCGGAAACTGTGCACCGACACGCTGTCGGCCTGGTGGGCCGTCATGAGCCGATGCTGCTGGTGGCCGGTAGCCGCCTTGGCCGCGGCCGACTCGCGTAACCGCTTGCGGCTGCACACCACGCGCAGCATCTCCTTGCGGAACGCGTCGTTCCGGAACACGTACACGAGCGGGTTGAGCGTGGCCGCGGACAGGGCGCACGTGTACACCACCTCGTCCGGCAGTTGGACAATGGACACGTGCAAGAACAGTGGCGTCCAGCTGAACAGGAACGTGGACAGCACCATCATGGACGTTTTCATGGCCCGGCTTTCCTCCCGGAACAACAGCGCCGAGAAAATGGCGTTCGAGTTGCGCCGCGACAGGTCCGGTTCCGTGCACACGCTGTGCTTGCGCGTCCTCAGACTGTTCCTGAAGCACACAGACATGCGCAGTTAGGACTTGTTCAAGTACTGTTACTTTTAATAATACAAATTATAATTTATCATATTATTAAAGTGGAAGGGCAGCACATAGTTATGTCCGGCGCGCTCTAATAATATCGAGAAAATAATGTTGTCTTAGGTAAAAAAAAAATGTCCTAAGCTGCGTCGAATTGTCAAATTTCAATAATTTTTTTCATTTGAACTTGTATGATATTACATTGAACTAGGGAACTCTCCCCTCTCCCTCTCTCCACAATTGCAACCACCACCCACCCCGGGGTGACCAGGTAAAGACCTGACCGACATAATAATCTCAACATTTAATATCTCAAATTTAAAATAATTATAAATGTATACATCTGTTATAATTATTATCTCTATCAAGATTTAATAATCTTTCCTCTTCTAATATTATTACTTTACGTTTTCATAGTACCTACCTATGCACTAATGTTTTCTAAGTATACTTTCTACATTTGGGTAGTATTTTTTTTCGTCTAATATCTTTGGTTCTCACTTTTTATCCGTAATTTTAAAAGTTGTGCACGACCATACATACAAATATGTTGAAGAAAAATGTTATGAGAGGATGTTATCATTATCAATACGGTTTAAAGTATATTGAAGATATAAACATAGGAAATTGTTTTATATTGTTGAAAGATACTTTAATATTGCTATTTAATTACAATTTTTGTGATTTAAAAAAAAATATTGTTTTCATGCAGTTTGAACTGTTCACGTAGAAACACTACATATTTTTTAATTAAGTACCTACCTACAGCAAAAGGTTTTCTTATTTTTAAATTTACTCTTGAAGAAAAGAATATGATGTATAATAAAACCAACAAAGTACATATGCCTACGTGATACTGCACGACTTTGGCAGTTTGTCTCGTTATTCGAAACCAATCAACAGTAAGTGGTCACATATAATAAAATAATATACCTGTGTGAAATGTCCAATCTACAGCCGCAGTCACCGCAAGATACGTTTTAAGCCTTTTTTTTTTATAACCACAAACGGCGTTAACTGAAATATAAAAAAATAAAAGTGCGCACGTTGTCGAAAAGTCTGCAATGTTTCCGCTGAAACTGAAAATCGTGCGGCGCTCTAGTTTAAAAGCGCGAACATCGCGATCGATGGCTCATATTATACTCGAGCGAGTGCTCAGAGGCGGTCGAGCCCAAAACGGCCATAAGTACAATAAAATATGGGTACCACAGACTTTTAACGAAATTAGGCTTGAACAAAGTGGGGCTCACACGTGTGTCGTCAAAGTCTTAGCCCAGTACTATGCGCTTAAGACAGGAAATCTCAAAAATCTCATTGGATTCGATTATTACAGACCCGCTTGAAGATGAGAAGTGGCCAAGAACCCACCCATTTTCCACCCTACTCTCGTCGTATAATCTTATAGAACATTTTTAATTTTATACACATATTGATGTTGTTGTCGACACGTCGCAAGAGGGTACGACGACCTAGATACTTTAAGCGGCTAACTCGATAATCGTTTAAGACATAATATTCTATCAAAAACACATATTTTGTAAACACATTAAAATAATATTACGGTGGCAAAAAGTTTGTACGTACTTCCGTGCACCCTCGGAACTGCAAACACGAGGAGGCTGTGGGTAGGCACTTGTATAAGTAGGAATAATACCTCACGCGAGTTTGTTTCAATATAATATAATTGGGTATAAAAAGGTTAACAAGGGAAAACGGATGGCCTAAGCGCTGGGCATATATGGCTTGCTATTTTACTGTCGTTAAACAAGTGCCGAAGCTCCGACGCATATGATTCATTCGAAACGTATTACGCGTACAATATATACGTACCCATAGAATATTACGGTCTCTAACTTACACTACATAAACATATAATACATCAGTACGATAGTAGGGTATTATATATTATAATGTTATGATATTGTTATAATACGCTCTAAAGCGATTAAAAATTATAAGAGTAAAATGTATTATTATAACATAAATATTGTTATTATTAAAATATAATTTAAAGTGTAGCGGTAGAGTAAGTATCCCGGATGAATGATTGCGGCCCAATTCAAATAACCCTATTGCTTGTCCCTAATATAATGATCCCGAAAATATGACTTACCACAAGTTGGTTCGCAAATTAATAATGTCTATAGTTAAAAATTGTTGTACAATATCATTGCACAAAGGATCAAGTTTGAATTACTATAACCAATCTTAGAAAATAACAAACGCGTTAGTCATTAATACTAATATACAGTTAGCTCTGAATTCGTAATAGTAAACTGGAAGTATAAATACAAAATACTCGGTGATTTTCGAAAGTTTGAAAATGCATTTTTTATGAGACAAAATAATAATATAATTATAAGTTTCTTTGGTATATATTTACCTAGGTAGTCAAATAATTAGCAAAATACATAGATTGCATACAGTAAATAAATAAATAATTTTTCAAATTCCTATTTGGTGACTGGTTGAAAATAAGTACTCACATGATACTCATCGTTGAAAGTAGTTGATACTCGTCGCTACTAACAGCCTATAAACAAAAAAATAGTTCAAGAAAATACCTACAAATCTTAGAAACATAGATGGAACATATGTGATACACCTTTTAGTGAAACAACACTTTTGTTTTTAATTACATTTTTAACGGATAGTTCGAATTTTGAACTAAACTGGATATTAGCTAGCGTATTGCACCTAGGTGTTTAATTTGGTTCTAAGATCTGAATATAAGAAAAAATTATAGTTTTATTTTTGAGACTTAAGTACTTGCTCAAAATGTTCATCTTCGGAGGGTACTTGTAGGGTGACACGCACTTGTAAATATACCATATAAATATGTGATAACACACGTAGTATAAATAGCCGACTTCTCTGCAGAGACGTGTTCAGGAATTTTTCTCGCTAATTTTCCACGCCACCCCGAATATTATTTATGTACTTTTTTTGTTTTTTTCTTTTTCGTTCAGAACAATCGCACAAAATTCGCTGCTGCTGCAGCTGCAGGCGTACACCCGTAGCAATTCCTTCGCAGGGTATACATGTACCTAGGTACATAGCACGATAACATTAATATATTCATATTAACATCAGCGTTGTTCGCTCGACACGTTATTGTGGAATACAGCTTAAAATTTCCAAATACGTTTTACATATTAACGTTATTATAATATCATATTTTATAGGTAGGTAGGTACTAGTATATGCGATGGAAAAAAATATGTCCAACGTTTCCCCTCTTGCCTCACACACACGTCATACAGTACTCCGTAATAATATGGCGTAGGTATATGCAGCCAGGTACGTAATATAATATATTATATAATGGAGAATGATGTAGAGTAATGTATATAAAATGAATTATGATGTGTACATGGTGTGCGTGGCTTATTACTATTGTACATGATATATATTATATACGCTTTCTAAAAACGCGACGAAATATTTATAGGACGGGAAGGTCCGTTTTTCTGTTCATAATTTTTTTCTCACATCGCTGCAACAGCAGTATGGGTGGGTTAGGTTATTTAGGTATGTTACTTGTACTCGCTTCGACTACACACGTCATTGTATCCGGATGTTTTATTGCCGTTTCCGGCCTTGTACAGTTATACACACACTGCGTAGCAAGTATATTATTAAATGGGTATGTAGTGTGATTTTTTTTCCATCACCAAACAATCGCTGTAACGTTAAATGTACCTATTTAAAAGACATCATTTTTTGAAAAAATTCCTTTTTTTACATTGTTTAAAATCGTTACACCACATTAATATTTCTGAAAAATAATAGTATTTTTATTATTTCTTTCAAAGTTTATAATTAGTTGTAACAGTGAGCATAAATTGACGACAAACATATTCTTACTCTAAGCAGAATATTTCGTACACGACAATTTATAAGAGACAAATATTGAACCAGTAGCTTATAATTAAACATGACTTACAACTTTATATTCGTGGGTCAGAATGTATAAATATTGAAAGTTCAGACGAGCTGAGTAGTTCACCGACATTTTGCTGCGGGCATCTATACCCATAGTGTTATAAGAATGTGAGAAAAATTATTGATTTTCATAACTTTGAAACTTTCTCATCAACAAAATGCTCAAAAAAAAGTTTTCGAAATAATTAAAATAATCAGCCGGTACGTGCTATGATATCATAATAATATATTACCGTGTGTATTATAGCACACACTCTTGGTATTAAAAATGTTTAGAACGCGATTCCCGAGTAAAGTCTCCACCTACCTTCATATCTAATATTAGCGTCATTTTTATGTTTTCCAAGGACCTGATGGTCTTCACACGTGTCCGGTCATTTATTTGCATGAATTATGTAGGTACATGGTTTATATTTATAGCCTGCGACGATGTAAAAACGCGAGTGCTATGTACATTATAATAATATATTAAATAATAATAATGTACACGAGTGCGGGCGAATAAACGTTTCGACTAAACCAATGCCGAGCGTACAATATATTATGTATATACTATTTAATCGTATTAAAATGTAAACCGAGTCGCGCGAGCGTATTTCTTCGGAAAACATAAAAAAATAAAAATAATAATCTGCCCTCGACTCGACCGACGCCCATGACGTACTAACACACACACACATATATATATACATATATATTTACACGAGATCTCCATTCGGGTTGATTAACGAATAAACGACGAATGTTAATAATAATTTGAATAAGGTTTTATTTGTTTATCGTCGTTAAACATTTCAGACCGCGTTTATACACACTGCAAAGCAAACCCATAGCGAAAGAAGTCTATACATATACATCGGCATTAAGTATTTTTCTTAATTCGATTCGATTAAACTTAATCCTAAAACCACGCGCGATACAAATTTCTACTTTTCATTTGCGTAAAAAGCTAATGGAGTTTTTTTATTTTTCACTAAACTTTATTGTGTTAGATAACGTCATGAGTAGCTAATGTCTTGGAAAAT